GTTGATCTATGTCCCTATAAAATGGGGATTTACATGGGAAGCTAGGGGATTGGTAACTTTCTTCTCCTTCATTACCCCATTTAGTATTTTATTATGTTACAATACATATATAAAAATTTTAGTATTTTAGTTGAAATTGTACATATTATATGTAAATACTATATTTATGAGTGGATATTCTTATTAAATAATTTTTTAATGGATGGAAAAGGGGAAACCTATATAACAAGGATATGAACCAAAAATCAAAGGAGGATCATAAGAGAAATTTTTGTGGGAACATGAATATGAGGATGACAATGTATTAAATTATTTGTTTAGGCATAGAACTACGTTCGTAAAAGCATATTTTGAATATGCTATGAGTCATATTAAAGAAATAATAAATAGTTTTAGTTTTAAAACATTTCTCTCAAATTATTTTAGAATTAGCTTGAATTCTAAAATTTCATACATGAGAAGCGAATGGGATGGTAACTCAATCACTTTCTTCCCCTTCATTACCTCATTTAGTATTGTTATGTTATATATTTATATTAAATTTCGAGTATTTTAGTTGAAATTGTATATATTATATGTAAATATCGTATTTATGTATTATATATTGATTATAAAGTGCAATATATATTATTTAAGTATTATATTATTATATATTCTTATTTAACTTTTTTTTATTGATCGGAACATGAACCAATTATATTACGAAGATATGAACCAAAAAACAAAGAAGGATCATAGGGGAAATTTTTGTTAGAAGATGCTATGAGTCATCTTTTGTTATAAGACATTTGTTTAAAGTTAGTTTTAGAATAAGCACGAATACATATATATTTTTATATAATAATATGTCATCTTGAGAAGTAATTATAATGTGGCTTTAGAGTATGGTCATATAATATTTATTATAATATAAGTGGATATTTATTGATATTATGTCTTAAAAGTTAAATATCTTATCATTGATTGATATTAAACACGTAAACGAGTTATACTATGTAGTCGTATTTTAGTTCCTTATAGTAATTTATTCACATTTAAGAAATAACAAAACAAAAAAGAATAGTTTAGATGTTCAAAAATTGTTTTTGGTTACAAGTAAAAAAGACAATTTCAATTTGGCTAACTGGATTTATATAAAGTTACCCAAGTTTTATTGTTTTTGGTTACAAGTTATATAAAGCAACCCCTAACTCATGAATCATGAAAAAATCTGCAAGTGTTGTGAAATAATTGAAATAATTGTAACAACATTATGGTCCACCCTAATCCATAACACTGTAATACCCTAATTTACAAAGAAAATGACACATAGTACCAAGGTAAGAATGGACTTTGGACGAGTAAAATTATGTCATTATCCTTGTAAACACAACTGAAAATCTTGTAATATATGAGAAAATTTGTACACTTTCTACTTTTATACTTGTTTTTCTTGACTTTTAATCCTAACAATGTACTATAAAATCCATGGTCATGTCAGGAAAAGAATATAAATTTATAATACTTCGTGGATGTCTACAAAAGTACAACCATGTAACATAGAGTTCAACAAGTAATAGTTCTTATTTTAGAAATTGATTTCAACCAATTACATAGACAAAACTAGAGGTGAAAAAATTCGAAGGATAAAGACTTTCAAGCTCTCAAATAAATGTTGATGCGCGCATTCACCAATTCTATGAAACAAAAGAAACAAAAAATTAAAACTATCAACATCAATTGATTTTTAAAAACTAGGCATAAAATACAGAGGAATTAACCACAACTAGCCATCATAATTTATATAAATAAAACTAGCAACTCATAATGAACTTGAGTAAAGCTACAATGAGGTGACATATCGAAATCAGAAGAAAAAAAAGAGTCTAAAACGGTAACTTTAGATTTATAAAAGTAAACAAATACCATTGCGAAATTCATAAGCATGTCATTGTGAGTCAAAAAGAATAAACTCAATTGAAAAATAACATGTCAAATCATATGCCAATTGCCAAACAGGAAGGACATAATTGCATAACACTTATGCAATTGCATTTGCGTTAAATATTAACAAAAAGTGGAAACTTGACAACTTGTATAACCGGTAACTAATTTAAAAAAAAATCTGAATGCATCATAAAGGACGAATGGCGCATGGGTGCGCCTAGTGCACTATAGAAGGTGCCCACACAATAGCAGGGACAACAAATCATTTGAAATCCATTTGTTTTCTTTATTTTCTTTATGTTTAAATCATAACATATATGAATTATTATAGACTACAAACAAATAATTGAACTTAGATTCATCCATCACATATACAATCTCCTATTGATGAACTGTTTACAAATGCCTAGTGAGTTGACATGGCCCAATAAAACAATCCTTCTAGCTCTGAAGGGCAGAATATTTAAAGCAAATGGTTGTCCAAAGAACTAACGAAATTCTATCATAAATATCTTTCTTTGAGTCCTTTTTGTTGGAAAAATGGCTCACATTAAGTATGCAAGTGAATGAGGAAGCGACCGGTAGCTAGGTATTGGCGACCGGTCGTTTTGAAGCAGATTCGAGGTCTGTAGAAGAGCTGGAAAATCGTGACCAGCGACCGGTCGCAAGGTGCAAGCGACCGGTGGTTTTGGAGGCAGAGTGTAAAGCGACCGGTCGCCAGACAGGCGA